AGTTATATTCGCTGGTTTTATTGTTTAAAAAATCGATTAAGAAGTTTGAAATTTGTAGCAAATTGCTTTGTACTCAACATTGTCAACAGGAGTTAACTGATTCAATTATTTAAATATATTGTCCAGAGCTATATATGATAGATCACTGTAACATACAGTAATCTGGATAGCAAAACATTGATAATTTTACTATGTTTGATTATCTATTTAAAGTTATTTATTTAAGTTCTTGGCAGGAGATTACCAGCCATTTTTATGTTCAAATTGTAAAAATTGTGGAAAATAAACAATACACAATGTTTTTTTAAAAAAGTGAATCAGTCATCCAGCCGGCATAACTCAGAAAAAAGTTACGCTTTGTTTCTGCTAAATGTTTAAAACCTTTTAAAACAAAAATAAATAACACGTTCCAAAAATGGTTTCCATTCCATGAAATTATTTATTATTATTTCCCAAAAACACTGATGGTTTTATTTATATTATACTAAATTTTTGTAAAAAATGTGAAACTAGTGATAAAACAACACGACATTTAAATTTGAATTTAAAACCTCAAAAAACACGTCTTAAACTTAAATAAAACTATCAGAGAAATAAACGCGTTTTTGTTTTACGCTTGCATCGTGACAAACACGTGTCTATACAGGTTTTATACCCGAAAGTGAAACTAGACTCTACAGCTGGGTCAAGAGAGAAAAATAAAAATACTTTATTTCATATTTTTAACCAGTGTTTTACATTTATTTATTTTTTTCAAAACTTATTTTTTTAAATGTGTATTTTTATTTCATGTACAGTCCTTCAAAGTTGCAAAAAATTGTCAGACTAATCTTACCCATATCTAAAATATGAGTTAAACTTGTGCAACCCTTATATAAGATATGAGTTAAACTAGATGAGAAAAATATTCTCTTTTTCAAATCATACTTGGAAAACAAAAATCTGTGACTACTACTTTATAACAAATATAATAAGAGAGATAACAGCAGAGCATTTTATTAACCATAATAAGTATCTATTACAAAAAAAAAAAGGTTTAGTAAATAAAGGTTTGTGAAGTTTAATAAAAATTTATATTTAGCCAACACAAAAATTATTATCCTGATTTACTTAAAATTAATAAAGAGACTTAAGCGCAGTAATCTAAATATTTTGAGAAAGTATGACTATTCGACAAAATATATTTTTAAACTGGCTTTATATATTTTTTGCGATTTACGCAGAATTAATTTAAGTAGGCCATGTCTGTATAGTTCTTATAGTTTTGGCAAACATTATTTGCTTTTCTAACTAAAAAGACCTTTTCTGAGTCTCCGGCTCCTTCTATGACGGATGTTTTGAAATGTTTTTTCTGGTGTTAACCATAAAACGAATAGTGGAATGTTCTGGAATAATAGTGGATAAAAGTTTCAACTTGGGATAAGAAAATGAATAATTAAATAAAATCAAAGAACTTGTAATCTCGCGAGCTTTATACATGGGAGTGGACGTTTATAAACTTTTGCAAAATTTTCCCACCCACCACAAGCTTATTAAGATTTCCTATAATACTTATAGATGAATATTGAAATTATAATAAAACAGCTGTTAAAAAATTTGACTGCAAGCCACACTGTTTGTAAAAAAATTCCCACTAACCCTTGTATTAAGACCTGCTTTTTCCCATTTATTAGATCCAGACTAAAATTCTTATCTTACCCCCCCCCCCTCCCCATTTACAATTGGCACGTAAAAGTAATTCAAAAATCGAAATTCATATATTGATTTTTTCATTATCCCGAGCACAATCCTATTAGTTTAACTAAAACATTTATGAAAACGACATTTAAAAGAAACGGAAAAAAAATAGGTCCAAAAAAAAAAAAGTTCTAAAACATTTGATGGAAAGTAACTTCTCAAAAACAATCTAAAATTTTGTTAAATCTAATCAGAGGGTCGACTGAAAATTTAAATGCTGAAAATATAGCGCAAAATATTGCTTAAAGTGGTATAAAATTATCTTCAAAATAATTATAATAACAACTTTGTTATGAGTGGGATATAGGATTTCTTTATTTAAAAAATATGTTTCAAGGGGTTAAACCTTAAAAACAAGTTTTTAGGAAATAAAAATTGAAAAAAAAGTTTACAATTTATCAAAACCAAAAATCAAAAATTTCAGTTAAATAATTTTGTAATTTGTAGCGAGTTTTTTTGTTATTTCAGTTAAAACTTACGAAAACTTTAAAAATTTACATGTAACACTCGACAAAACAAAATTTTTCTAAACACTTTTTTACTTACAGCAATAGTTTGAGGTCTAAATGGATATTGGATATGATGGAATGGATATATAATAAATGGGTATTAGGGGCTGTCTATTAATTATGTAAACAATTTTTGGGTGATTTTTAACTTTCCCTTTCCGTGTCAACAATTTGTCATACTTCTAGAGACTCCCCTATAAAATATGTAAAGATTTGATTATCCAACCCCCAGGTTCCCTAAATGAAAATAAAATAAAAATCATCCTTTTTTACCCTTTTTTTAAATAACTAAATTTATTAAAGAAATAACATGTCAATGTCAACTTTTATTGACCTCCCCCTTCCAGTTTGTTAACAATGGTCAAAAATTGTTAGGTTCTCTTTTGTTGACATAATTAATGGACATTTCTTAAAGTCCTTTGAAAATACATTTGGAAAATATCTCATACCCATCTTCTGTATTTTGAAACAACACCATTTTACATGATCCAGTTAAACTCTACATGATAGTTAAATTATTAAAATTTTAAATTATTTATTTCCATGTCTGAGCAAAATTTAATTACTATAATTTGAATAGCTGCAAAAACATATTAACTCATCCCATAAGTATATAAGTATTTCCATAACTACCATCAGTATTTGAAAACACCAAACATTGAATCTATGTTCATTAAACCTACTGACAAAAATCATTCTCTAAGTGATAGAAAGACTTCTGGTTCAAACAACATTCCAACCTTTATTCTTAAACTTCATGCTAACCATATTTATGCAATACTTTCCAAAGATCCCACAACACAGCATTTTGTAATTTGTAGCGAGTTTTTTTGTTATTAATTTTGTATTCAATGGCTGATGATTGCTAATAGGCATGAAACTTAAAGTACCATAAAAAAAGTTGTATTTTCTTCGTTAATGTATATATATATATATATATATATATATATATATATATATATATATATATATATATATATATATATATATATATATATATATATATATATATATATATATATATATATATATATATATGTATATATATATATATGTATATATATATATATATATGTATATATATATATATATATATATATATATATATATATATATATATATATGTATATATATATACTATATATATATATATATATATATATATATATATATATATATATATATATATATATATATATATATATATATATATATATATATATATATATATATATATATATATATATATATATATATATATATATATATATATGTATATATATATATATATATATATATGTATATGTATATATATATATATATATATATATATATATATATATATATATATATATATATATATATATATATATATATGTATATATATATATATATATATATATATATATATGTATATATATATATATATATATATGTATATATATATACTTTCTTGATAAATATAAGTCTTTTTATGGCTTCCAGATTGGATATTGGAAATAAAAAAAAATTTCCTATAATCAGTCAACAAAGTACATCCGTAAGAATAAAAACAATATCTCCTTTACAAACTAATACCCAAAGTTTTGAAATTTTAGAGTTTTCTGAATAAAAAACTCTAAAATTTCAAAACTTTGTCTTTATAGCTGTCTTTTTGTGCTTCATATACCTTAAAATACCGAATTTGTTTATTAAATTTTTTATTAAAACAAATACATATAACTAAACTCAAAATACTGAAAATGTTGAATAGTACCCTTCATTATTCAACACTATTTAATATGGCAAACTTTATAAACATTGCTGTAAAAAAAAAACTTTACAGAGAAATATTTGTAAATTTATTTAAAAACAAACTCGTTTTTAGTAATTATGTTTATAATAAGACTTCATGTTATAATGTAATATGTTACATTATAACATGTCATATGTAACAAAAGCAACTTTTGTTTTATAGATCGTTAAAGGTTTTAATAAAAAAAAAATCTTGAACTTATTATTTGTAATATCATTCATTCAATATAGTAATTAATTTTTTTATTGATTCGTAAAAAATTTTAACTTTCTTTATTCTCTTTTCTGCTTTTAGTTAGTTTCCTTTGTTTATCATGTTTGTTTTTGTTATATTATACTTCTTAATTTTAAAATCTATGTTTTACAAAAAAAAAATCTATAATTTTATATCTGTCACTAAATAAAAAAGTTAATATTTTGTTTTTCTTTGGTTACTATCAAGTATGCTTTTTAGCAACATAAATTTCCCCCTACAAAGCATTTTGTAATATTTAAAATACTATAAAAAAAGTTGTTTTTTCTTCATTAACTATATATATATATATATATATATATATATATATATATATATATATATATATATATATATATATATATATATATATATATATATATATATATATATATATATATATATATATATATATATATATATTAAAACAAATAAATAAATAAATATATATATATATATATATATATAAATATATATATATAATATATATATATATATATATATATATATATATATATATATATATATATATATATATATACATATATATATATATATATATATATATATATATATATATATATATATATATATATATATATATATATATATATATATATATATATATATATATACACAAATATAAAAACTAAATACAACAACAAAATCTAATGCAAATAAAAAATATCCACAAAACTTAAAAACAGAAAAATAAAAAACCAACTAACCATTTGGTGTTGTTGTAACTTCAGTTGATGTTATTGGAACTTCAGTTGCTGTAGTTGTGGCTTCGGTTGTTGTGGTTAGAGCTTCAGTTGTTGTGGTTGTAGCTTCGGTTGTTGTAGTTGTAGCTTCGGTTGTTGTAGTTGTAGCTTCGATTGTTGTAGTTGAAGCATCCGTTGTTGTAGCAGCTTCAGTTGTTGTGGTTGGAATTTCGGTTGTTGTAGTTGTACTTCCTGTTGTTGTTGCAGCTTCAGTAGTTGTTGTTGTAACTTCAGTTGTTGTTGTTGGAGCTTCAGTTGTTGTGGTTGTGCCTTCGGTTGTTGTTGTTGTAACTTCAGTAGTTGTTGTTGTAGCTATAGTTGTTGTTGTTGGAACTTCAGTTGTTGTAGTTGTGGCTTCGATTGTTGTGGTTAGAGCTTCAGTTGTTGTGGTTGTAGCTTCGGTTGTTGTAGTTGTAGCTTCGGTTGTTGTAGTTAAACCATCCGTTGTTGCAGTAGCTTCAGTTGTTGTGGTTAGATTTTCGGTTGTTGTTATTGTACTTCCTATTGTTGTTGCAGCTTCATTAGTTGTTGTTGTAGCTTCAGTTGTTGTTGTTGGAACCTCAGTTGTTGTAGTTGTGGCTTCGCTTGTTGTGGTTGGAGCTTCAGTTGTTGTGGTTGTAGCTTCGGTTGTTGTAGTTGTAGCTTCGATTGTTGTAGTTGAAGCATCCGTTGTTGTAGCAGCTTCAGTTGTTGTGGTTGGATTTTCGGTTGTTGTAGTTGTACTTCCTGTTGTTGTTGCAGCTTCAGTTGTTGTTGTTGTAGCTTCAGTTGTTGTTGTTGTAGCTTCAGTTGTTGTGGTTGTGCCTTCGGTTGTTGATGTTGTAACTTCAGTTGTTGTTGTTGTAGCTTTAGTTGTTGTTGTTGGAACTTCAGTTGTTGTAGTTGTGGCTTCGATTGTTGTGGTTGGAGCTTCAGTTGTTGTGGTTGGAGCTTCATTTGTTGTGGTTGTAGCTTCGGTTGTTGTAGTTGTAGCTTCGGTTGTTGTAGTTGAAGCATCCGTTGTTGTAGTAGCTTCAGTTGTTGTAGTTGGACTTTCGGTTGTTGTAGTTGTACTTCCTGACGTTGTTGCAGCTTCAGTAGTTGTTGTTGTTGCTTCAGTTGTTGTTGTTGGAACTTCAGGTGTTGTAGTTGTGGCTTCGGTTGTTGCGGTTAGAGCTTCAGTTGTTGTGGTTGTAGCTTCGGTTGATGTAGTTGAGGCTTCGGTTGTTGTAGTTAAAGCATCCGTTGTTGTAGTAGCTTCAGTTGTTGTGGTTGGATTTTCGGTTGTTGTAGTTGTACTTTCAATTGTTGTTGTAGATTCAGTTGTTGTTGTTGTAGCTTCAGTTGTTGTTGTTGGAGCTTCAGTTGTTGTGGTTGTGCCGTCGGTTGTTGTTGTTGCAACTTCAGTAGTTGTTGTTGTAGCTTTAGTTGTTGTTGTTGGAACTTCAGTTGTTGTAGTTGTGGCTTCGATTGTTGTGGTTAGAGCTTCAGTTGTTGTGGTTGTAGCTTCGGTTGTTTTAGTTGTAGCTTCGGTTGTTGTAGTTGAAGCATCCGTTGTTGTAGTAGCTTCAGTTGTTGTGGTTGGATTTTCGGTTGTTGTAGTTGTACTTCCTGTTGTTGTTGCAGCTTCAGTAGTTGTTGATGTAGCTTCAGTTGTTATTGTTGGAACTCCAGTTGATGTAGTTGTGGCTTGGGTTGTTGTGGTTGGAGCTTCAGTTGTTGTAATTGTAGCTTCAGTAGTTGTAGTTGTAGCTTCGGTTGTTGTAGTTAAAGCATCCGTTGTTGTAGTAGCTTCAGTTGTTGTGGTTGGATTTTCAGTTGTTGTAGTTGTACTTTCAATTGTTGTTGCAGCTTCAATTGTTGTTGCTGTAGCTTCAGTTGTTGTTGTTGGAGATTCAGTTGTTGTGGTTGTGCCTTCGGTTGTTGTTGTTGTAACTTCAGTTGTTGTTGTTGCAGCTTCAGTAGTTGTTGTTGTAGCTTCAGTTGTTGTTGTTGGAACTTCAGTTGTTGTAGTTGTGGCTTCGGTTATTGTGGTTGTAGCTTCGGTTGTTGTAGTTGTAGCTTCGGTTGTTGTAGTTAAAGCATCCGTTGATGTAGTAGCTTCAGTTGTTGTAGTTGAATTTTCGGTTGTTGTAGTTGAACTTCCTGTTGTTGTTGCAGCTTCATTAGTTGCTGTTGTAGCTTCAGTTGTTGTTGTTGGAACTTCAGTTGTTGTAGTTGTGGCTTCGTTTGTTGTGGTTGGAGCTTCAGTTGTTGTGGTTGTAGCTTCGGTTGTTGTAGTTGTAGCTTCGGTTGTTGTAGTTGAAGCATCCGTTGCTGTAGCAGCGTCAGTTGTTGTGGTTGGATTTTCGGTTGTTGTAGTTGTACTTTCAATTAATGTTGTAGCTTCAGTTGTTGTTGTTGGAGCTTCAGTTGTTGTGGTTGTGCCTTCGGTTGTTGTTGTTGTAATTTCAGTAGTTGTTGTTGTAGCTTTAGTTGTTGTTGTTGGAACTTCAGTTGTTGTAGTTGGTTCTTCAGTTGTTGTGGTTGTAGCTTCTGCTGTTGTAGTTGTAGCTTCGGTTGTTGTAGTTGAAGCATCCATTGTTGTAGTAGCTTCAGTTGTTGTGGTTGGATTTTCGGTTGTTGTAGTTGTACTTTCAATTGTTGTTGCAGCTTCAATTGTTGTTGTTGTAGCTTCAGTTGTTGTTGTTGGAGCTTCAGTTGTTGTGGTTGTGCTTTCGGTTGTTGTTGTTGTAACTTCAGTTGTTGTTGTTGCAGCTTCAGTAGTTGTTGTTGTAGCTTCATTTGTTGTTGTTGGAACTTCAGTTGTTGTAGTTGTGGCTTCGGTTGTTGTGGTTGTAGCTTCGGTTGTTGTAGTTGTAGCTTCGGTTGTTGTAGTTGAAGCATCCTTTGTTGTAGTAGCTTCAGTTGTTGTAGTTGGATTTTCGGTTGTTGTAGTTGTACTTCCTGTTGTTGTTGCAGCTTCAGTAGTTGTTGTTGTAGCTTCAGTTGTTGTTGTTGGAGCTTCAGTTGTTGTGGTTGTGCTTTCGGTTGTTGTTGTTGTAACTTCAGTTGTTGTTGTTGCAGCTTCAGTAGTTGTTGTTGTAGCTTCAGTTGTTGTTGTTGGAACTTCAGTTGTTGTAGTTGTGGCTTCGGTTGTTGTGGTTGTAGCTTCGGTTGTTGTAGTTGTAGCTTCAGTTGTTGTAGTTGAGGCATCCGTTGTTGTAGTAGCTTCAGTTGTTGTGGTTGGATTTTCGGTTGTTGTAGTTGTACTTCCTGCTGTTGTTGCAGCTTCAGTAGTTGTTGTTGTAGCTTCAGTTGTTGTTGTTGGAACTTCAGTTGTTGTAGTTGTGGCTTCGTTTGTTGTGGTTGGAGCTTTCGTTGTTGTGGTTGTAGCTTCGGTTGTTGTAGTTGTAGCTTCGGTTGTTGTAATTAAAGCATCCGTTGTTGTAGTAGCTTCAGTTGTTGTGGTTGGATTTTTAGTTGTTGTAGTTGTACTTTCAATTGTTGTTGCAGCTTCAATTGTTGTTGCTGTAGCTTCAGTTGTTGTTGTTGGAGATTCAGTTGTTGTGGTTGTGCTTTCGGTTGTTGTTGTTGTAACTTCAGTTGTTGTTGTTGCAGCTTCAGTAGTTGTTGTTGTAGCTTCAGTTGTTGTTGTTGGAACTTCAGTTGTTGTAGTTGTGGTTTCGGTTATTGTGGTTGTAGCTTCGGTTGTTGTAGTTGTAGCTTCGGTTGTTGTAGTTGAAGCATCCGTTGATGTAGTAGCTTCAGTTGTTGTAGTTGAATTTTCGGTTGTTGTAGTTGAACTTCCTGTTGTTGTTGCAGCTTCATTAGTTGTTGTTGTAGCTTCAGTTGTTGTTGTTGGAACTTCAGTTGTTGTAGTTGTGGCTTCGGTTGTTGTGGTTGGAGCTTCAGTTGTTGTGGTTGTAGCTTCGGTTGTTGTAGTTGTAGCTTCGGTTGTTGTAGTTGAAGCATCCGTTGCTGTAGCAGCGTCAGTTGTTGTGGTTGGATTTTCGGTTGTTGTAGTTGTACTTTCAATTAATGTTGTAGCTTCAGTTGTTGTTGTTGGAGCTTCAGTTGTTGTGGTTGTGCCTTCGGTTGTTGTTGTTGTAATTTCAGTAGTTGTTGTTGTAGCTTTAGTTGTTGTTGTTGGAACTTCAGTTGTTGTAGTTGGTTCTTCAGTTGTTGTGGTTGTAGCTTCTGCTGTTGTAGTTGTAGCTTCGGTTGTTGTAGTTGAAGCATCCATTGTTGTAGTAGCTTCAGTTGTTGTGGTTGGATTTTCGGTTGTTGTAGTTGTACTTTCAATTGTTGTTGCAGCTTCAATTGTTGTTGTTGTAGCTTCAGTTGTTGTTGTTGGAGCTTCAGTTGTTGTGGTTGTGCTTTCGGTTGTTGTTGTTGTAACTTCAGTTGTTGTTGTTGCAGCTTCAGTAGTTGTTGTTGTAGCTTCAGTTGTTGTTGTTGGAACTTCAGTTGTTGTAGTTGTGGCTTCGGTTGTTGTGGTTGTAGCTTCGGTTGTTGTAGTTGTAGCTTCGGTTGTTGTAGTTGAAGCATCCTTTGTTGTAGTAGCTTCAGTTGTTGTAGTTGGATTTTCGGTTGTTGTAGTTGTACTTCCTGTTGTTGTTGCAGCTTCAGTAGTTGTTGTTGTAGCTTCAGTTGTTGTTGTTGGAGCTTCAGTTGTTGTGGTTGTGCTTTCGGTTGTTGTTGTTGTAACTTCAGTTGTTGTTGTTGCAGCTTCAGTAGTTGTTGTTGTAGCTTCAGTTGTTGTTGTTGGAACTTCAGTTGTTGTAGTTGTGGCTTCGGTTGTTGTGGTTGTAGCTTCGGTTGTTGTAGTTGTAGCTTCAGTTGTTGTAGTTGAAGCATCCGTTGTTGTAGTAGCTTCAGTTGTTGTGGTTGGATTTTCGGTTGTTGTAGTTGTACTTCCTGCTGTTGTTGCAGCTTCAGTAGTTGTTGTTGTAGCTTCAGTTGTTGTTGTTGGAACTTCAGTTGTTGTAGTTGTGGTTTCGGTTGTTGTGGTTGGAGCTTCAGTTGTTGTGGTTGTAGCTTCGGTTGTTGTAGTTGTAGCTTCGGTTGTTGTAGTTAAAGCATCCGTTGTTGTAGTAGCTTCAGTTGTTGTGGTTGGTTTTTCGGTTGTTGTAGTTGTACTTTCAATTGTTGTTGCAGCTTTAATGGTTGTTGTTGTAGCTTCAGTTGTTGTTGTTAGAGCTTCAGTTGTTGTGGTTGTGCCTTCGGTTGTTGTTGTTGTAACTTCAGTTGTTGTTGTTGCAGTTTCAGTAGTTGTTGTTGTAGCTTCAGTTGTTGTTGTTGGAACTTCAGTTGTTGTAGTTGTGGCTTCGGTTGTTGTGTTTGGAGCGTCAGTTGTTGTGGTTATAGCTTCGGTTGTTGTAGTTGTAGCTTCGGTTGTTGTAGTTAAAGCATCCGTTGTTGTAGTAGCTTCAGTTGTTGTGGTTGGATTTTCGGTTGTTGTAGTTGTACTTTCAATTGTTGTTGTAGCTTCAGTTGTTGTTGTTGTAGCTTCAGTTGTTGTTGTTGGAGCTTCAGTTGTTGTGGTTGTGCCTTCGGTTGTTGATGTTGTAACTTCAGTTGTTGTTGTTGTAGCTTTAGTTGATGTTGTTGGAATTTCAGTTGTTGTAGTTGTGGCTTCGATTGTTGTGGTTGGAGCTTCAGTTGTTGTGGTTGGAGCTTCAGTTGTTGTGGTTGTAGCTTCGGTTGTTGTAGTTGTAGCTTCGGTTGTTGTAGTTGAAGCATCCGTTGTTGTAGTAGCTTCAGTTGTTGTATTTGGATTTTCGGTTGTTGTAGTTGTACTTGCTGTTGTTGTTGCAGCTTCAGAAGTTGTTGTTGTAGTTTCAGTTGTTGTTGTTGGAACTTCAGTTGATGTAGTTGTGGCTTCGGTTGTTGTGGTTGGAGCTTCAGTTGTTGTGGTTGTAGCTTCGGTAGTTGTAGTTGTAGCTTCGGTTGTTGTAGTTAAAGCATCCGTTGTTGTAGTAGCTTCAGTTGTTGTGGTTGGATTTTCAGTTGTTGTAGTTGTACTTTCAATTGTTGTTGCAGCTTCAATTGTTGTTGCTGTAGCTTCAGTTGTTGTTGTTGGAAGTTCAGTTGTTGTGGTTGTGCCTTCGGTTGTTGTTGTTGTAACTTCAATTGTTGTTGTTGCAGCTTCAGTAGTTGTTGTTGTAGCTTCAGTTGTTGTTGTTGGAACTTCAGTTGTTGTATTTGTGGCTTCGGTTGTTGTGGTTGGAGCTTCAGTTGTTGTGGTTGTAGCTTCGGTTGTTGTAGTTGTAGCTTCGGTTGTTGTAGTTAAAGCATCCGTTGTTGTAGTAGCTTCAGTTGTTGTGGTTGGATTTTCAGTTGTTGTAGTTGTACTTTCAATTGTTGTTGCAGCTTCAATTGTTGTTGCTGTAGTTTCAGTTGTTGTTGTTGGAGATTCAGTTGTTGTGGTTGTGCCTTCGGTTGTTGTTGTTGTAACTTCAATTGTTGTTGTTGCAGCTTCAGTAGTTGTTGTTGTAGCTTCAGTTGTTGTTGTTGGAACTTCAGTTGTTGTAGTTGTGGCTTCGGTTGTTGTGGTTGGAGCTTCAGTTGTTGTGGTTGTAGCTTCGGTTGTTGTAGTTGTAGCTTCGGTTGTTGTAGTTAAAGCATCCGTTGTTGTAGTAGCTTCAGTTGTTGTGGTTGGATTTTCAGTTGTTGTAGTTGTACTTTCAATTGTTGTTGTAGCTTCAGTTGTTGTTGTTGTAGCTTCAGTTGTTGTTGTTGGAGCTTCAGTTGTTGTTGTTGTGCCTTTAATTGTTGATGTTGTAACTTCAGTTGTTGTTGTTGTAGCTTTAGTTGTTGTTGTTGGAATTTCAGTTGTTGTAGTTGTGGCTTCGATTGTTGTGGTTGGAGCTTCAGTTGTTGTGGTTGGAGCTTCAGTTGTTGTGGTTGTAGCTTCGGTTGTTGTAGTTGTAGCTTCGGTTGTTGTAGTTGAAGCATCCGTTGTTGTAGTAGCTTCAGTTGTTGTATTTGGATTTTCAATTGTTGTAGTTGTACTTGCTGTTGTTGTTGCAGCTTCAAAAGTTGTTGTTGTAGTTTCAGTTGTTGTTGTTGGAACTTCAGTTGATGTAGTTGTGGCTTCAGTTGTTGTGGTTGGAGCTTCAGTTGTTGTGGTTAAAGCATCCGTTGTTGTAGTAGCTTCAGTTGTTGTGGTTGGATTTTCAGTTGTTGTAGTTGTACTTTCAATTGTTGTTGCAGCTTCAATTGTTGTTGCTGTAGTTTCAGTTGTTGTTGTTGGAGATTCAGTTGTTGTGGTTGTGCCTTCGGTTGTTGTTGTTGTAACTTCAGTTGTTGTTGTTGCAGCTTCAGTAGTTGTTGTTGTAGCTTCAGTTGTTGTTGTTGGAACTTCAGTTGTTGTAGTTGTGGCTTCGGTTGTTGTGGTTGTAGCTTCGGTTGTTGTAGTTGTAGCTTCGGTTGTTGTAGTTAAAGCATCCGTTGTTGTAGTAGCTTCAGTTGTTGTGGTTGGATTTTCGGTTGTTGTAGTTGTACTTCCTGCTGTTGTTGCAGCTTCAGTAGTTGTTGTTGTAGCTTCAGTTATTGTTGTTGGAACTTCAGTTGATGTAGTTGTGGCTTCGGTTGTTGTGGTTGGAGCTTCAGTTGTTGTAGTTGTAGCTTCGGTTGTTGTAGTTGTAGCTTCGGTTGTTGTAGTTAAAGCATCCGTTGTTGTAGTAGCTTCAGTTGTTGTAGTTGGATTTTCGGTTGTTGTAGTTGTACTTTCAATTGTTGTTGCAGCATCAATTGTTGTTGCTGTAGCTTCAGTTGCTGTTGTTAGAGATTCAGTTGTTGTGGTTGTGCCTTCGGTTGTTGTTGTTGTAACTTTAGTTGTTGTTGTTGCAGCTTCAGTAGTTGTTGTTGTAGCTTCAGTTGTTGTTGTTGGAACTTCAGTTGTTGTAGTTGTGGCTTCGGTTGTTGTGGTTGTAGCTTCGGTTGTTGTAGTTGTAGCTTCGGTTGTTGTAGTTGAAGCATCCGTTGATGTAGTAGCTTCAGTTGTTGTAGTTGAATTTTCGGTTGTTGTAGTTGAACTTCCTGTTGTTGTTGCAGCTTCATTAGTTGTTGTTGTAGCTTCAGTTGTTGTTGTTGGAACTTCAGTCGTTGTAGTTGTGGCTTCGGTTGTTGTGGTTGGAGCTTCAGTTGATGTGGTTGTAGCTTCGGTTGTTGTAGTTGTAGCTTCGGTTGTTGTAGTTGAAGCATCCGTTGCTGTAGCAGCGTCAGTTGATGTGGTTGGATTTTCGGTTGTTGTAGTTGTACTTTCAATTGTTGTTGTAGCTTCAGTTGTTGTTGTTGGAGCTTCAGTTGTTGTGGTTGTGCCTTCGGTTGTTGTTGTTGTAATTTCAGTAGTTGTTGTTGTAGCTTTAGTTGTTGTTGTTGGAACTTCAGTTGTTGTAGTTGGTTCTTTGATTGTTGTGGTTGGAGCTTCAGTTGTTGTGGTTGTAGCTTCGGTTGTTGTAGTTGTAGCTTCGGTTGCTGTAGTTAAAGCATCCGTTGTTATAGTAGCTTCAGTTGTTGTGGTTGGATTTTCGGTTGTTGTAGTTGTACTTTCAATTGTTGTTGCAGCTTCAATTGTTGTTGTTGTAGCTTCAGTTGTTGTTGTTGGAGCTTCAGTTGTTGTGGTTGTGCTTTCGGTTGTTGTTGTTGTAACTTCAGTTGTTGTTGTTGCAGCTTCAGTAGTTGTTGTTGTAGCTTCAGTTGTTGTTGTTGGAACTTCAGTTGTTGTAGTTGTGGCTTCGGTTGTTGTGGTTGTAGCTTCGGTTGTTGTAGTTGTAGCTTCGGTTGTTGTAGTTGAAGCATCCGTTGTTGTAGTAGCTTCAGTTGTTGTAGTTGGATTTTCGGTTGTTGTAGTTGTACTTCCTGTTGTTGTTGCAGCTTCAGTAGTTGTTGTTGTAGCTTCAGTTGTTGTTGTTGGAGCTTCAGTTGTTGTGGTTGTGCTTTCAGTTGTTGTTGTTGTAACATCAGTTGTTGTTGTTGCAGCTTCAGTAGTTGTTGTTGTAGCTTCAGTTGTTGTTGTTGGAACTTCAGTTGTTGTAGTTGTGGCTTCGGTTGTTGTGGTTGTAGCTTCGGTTGTTGTAGTTGTAGCTTCGGTTGTTGTAGTTGAAGCATCCGTTGTTGTAGTAGCTTCAGTTGTTGTGGTTGGATTTTCGGTTGTTGTAGTTGTACTTCCTGCTGTTGTTGCAGCTTCAGTAGTTGTTGTTGTAGCTTCAGTTGTTGTTGTTGGAACTTCAGTTGTTGTAGTTGTGGCTTCGTTTGTTGTGGTTGGAGCTTCAGTTGTTGTGGTTGAAGCTTCGGTTGTTGTAGTTGTAGCTTCGGTTGTTGTAGTTAAAGCATCCGTTGTTGTAGTAGCTTCAGTTGTTGTGGTTGGATTTTCGGTTGTTGTAGTTGTACTTTCAATTGTTGTTGCAGCTTCAATTGTTGTTGTTGGAGCTTCAGTTGTTGTTGTTGGAGCTTCAGTTGTTGTGGTTGTGCCTTCGGTTGTTGTTGTTGTAACTTCAGTTGTTGTTGTTTCAGTTTCAGTAGTTGTTGTTGTAGCTTCAGTTGTTGTTGTTGGAATTTCAGTTGTTGTAGTTGTGGCTTCGGTTGTTATGGTTGTAGCTTCGGTTGTTGTAGTTGTAGCTTCGGTTGTTGTAGTTGAAGCATCTGTTGTTGTAGTAGCTTCAGTTGTTGTATTTGGATTTTCGGTTGTTGTAGTTGTACTTGCTGTTGTTGTTGCAGCTTCAGAAGTTGTTGTTGTAGTTTCAGTTGTTGTTGTTGGAACTTCAGTTGATGTAGTTGTGGCTTCGGTTGTTGTGGTTGGAGCTTCAGTTGTTGTGGTTGTAGCTTCGGTAGTTGTAGTTGTAGCTTCGGTTGTTGTAGTTAAAGCATCCGTTGTTGTAGTAGCTTCAGTTGTTGTGGTTGGATTTTCAGTTGTTGTAGTTGTACTTTCAATTGTTGTTGCAGCTTCAATTGTTGTTGCTGTAGCTTCAGTTGTTGTTGTTGGAGATTCAGTTGTTGTGGTTGTGCCTTCGGTTGTTGTTGTTGTAACTTCAATTGTTGTTGTTGCAGCTTCAGAAGTTGTTGTTGTAGCTTCAGTTGTTGTTGTTGGAACTTCAGTTGTTGTAGTTGTGGCTTCGGTTGTTGTGGTTGGAGCTTCAGTTGTTGTGGTTGTAGCTTCGGTTGTTGTAGTTGTAGCTTCGGTTGTTGTAGTTAAAGCATCCGTTGTTGTAGTAGCTTCAGTTGTTGTGGTTGGATTTTCGGTTGTTGTAGTTGTACTTTCAATTGTTGTTGTAGCTTCAGTTGTTGTTGTTGTAGCTTCAGTTGTTGTTGTTGGAGCTTCAGTTGTTGTGCTTGTGCCTTCGGTTGTTGATGTTGTAACTTCAGTTGTTGTTGTTGTAGCTTTAGTTGTTGTTGTTGGAATTTCAGTTGTTGTAGTTGTGGCTTCGATTGTTGTGGTTGGAGCTTCAGTTGTTGTGGTTGGAGCTTCAGTTGTTGTGGTTGTAGCTTCGGTTGTTGTAGTTGTAGCTTCGGTTGTTGTAGTTGAAGCATCCGTTGTTGTAGTAGCTTCAGTTGTTGTATTTGGATTTTCGGTTGTTGTAGTTGTACTTGCTGTTGTTGTTGCAGCTTCAAAAGTTGTTGTTGTAGTTTCAGTTGTTGTTGTTGGAACTTCAGTTGATGTAGTTGTGGCTTCGGTTGTTGTGGTTGGAGCTTCAGTTGTTGTGGTTGTAGCTTCGGTTGTTATAGTTGTAGCATTGGTTGTTGTAGTTAAAGCATCCGTTGTTGTAGTAGCTTCAGTTGTTGTGGTTGGATTTTCGGTTGTTGTAGTTGTACTTTCAATTGTTGTTGCAGCTTCAATTGTTGTTGTTGTAGCTTCAGTTGTTGTTGTTGGAGCTTCAGTTGTTGTTGTTGTGCCTTCGGTTGTTGATGTTGTAACTTTAGTTGTTGTTGTTGTAGCTTTAGTTGTTGTTGTTGGAATTTCAGTTGTTGTAGTTGTGGCTTCGAGTGTTGAGGTTGGAGCTTCAGTTGTTGTGGTTGGAGCTTCAGTTGTTTTGGTTGTAGCTTCGGTTGTTGTAGTTGAAGCATCCGTTGTTGTAGTAGCTTCAGTTGTTGTAGTTGGATTTTCGGTTGTTGTAGTTGTACTTTCTGTTGTTGTTGCAGCTTCAGTAGTTGTTGTTGTAGCTTCAGTTGTTGTTGTTGGAACTTCAGTTGTTGTAGTTGTGGCCTCGGTTGTTGTGGTTGGAGCTTCAGTTGTTGTGGTTGTAGCTTCGTTTGTTGTAGTTGTGGCTTCGATTGTTGTAGTTAAAGCATCCGTTGTTGTAGTAGCTTCAGTTGTTGTGGTTGGATTTTTGGTTGTTGTTGTTGTACTTTCAATTGTTGTTGTAGCTTCAGTAGTTGTTGTTGTAGCTTCATTTGTTGTTGTTGGAGCTTCAGTTGTTGTGGTTGCGGCTTTTGTTGTTGTTGTTGTAGCTTTAGTAGTTGTTGTTGTAGCTTCAGTTGTTATTGTTGGAACTTCAGTTGTTGTAATTGTGGCTTCGCTTGTTGTTGTTGTAGCTTCAGTTGTTGCTTTATAATATAAAAGTATAAAACAAATTAATTTTTTATACAAATGTTTTAAATAAAATTTCTTTTGTAAATAAAAAATTAGATATAATAATAAGTGAATCAAATATGATTTAGTTATTATTATTTACTGTTATTCTGACGCTAGAAATTATTATTTTGCTCTGCCATCTGATCGCTTTTAATTATAAGGGTATATATTTTACATTTGCCTTAAAATTACAAAAAGCATTTTTAATGGTACTCAATACTAAATAGCTTCTTTATTTTAAGCTGTACACTAGGGATATTATTGATTAATCAAATTTTTTTTTGGTTTAATTAATTAATCGATTAATCAAAAAATTAGAATGATTAATCAACATTTTATATTAGAATTAGGTTTTAATTAGAATTTTTCACGATTTTTCCAACTTTATACACCGGATCGTCAACACTGGATTTAGTAATTGTTTCGTTTTAAACCACGGAACTAAATGAACAAGCCATAATTTTTAAGAATATCTAGCATATTTACATTTATTACTTATAGAAAAACTTTTATCCTCGTGCTTAACATTATAATGGTATGTTGATAATAATCTTTTCAAATGTATTTTTGTGGGATTGTGTGTTGTGTTATGAATTATAGTGTACCTGCAAATATTTTTATAAATCAAATTATACTATTAGGATTTATCCCAAAATATATGCAACAGCAATGATATATTGGCGCAGCCAAAAAAAGAGTCTTTTAATTGGGTTCATTTATTCAAAAATATAAATGATTGACAAACTTTAAAATGTAAGCATTGTGACAATTTAAATCTCATTTATCAACTGCATCCTTAACGTACCACATGCAACACAAACACAACTTTCTTATAAAGCCTGCTTCAGGAAGCTCATTAGTTGCACAAAGTAATTTTCAAAGGATAGTTTCATCCTATTTTCAAAAACAAAATTCTTGTCCTGGGTTAATTCTAGCCTAGTTAACAGCTTTAGATAAAATACTGTTTTCAACTTTGGCAAATAGTGAAGAAATTATGAAAGGATGTAAAGCTCAAGGTTTAAAAATGATTTTTATTTACATTAACAAGACAAGGAAATAAAAATGTTACACTTGAGTATGCTGACCAGATTAGAAAAAAAATTAAAAATTGATTAAAAAAAAAAGAATAGAGAATGGTGAGAGATTTTCGTTATCATTAGACAAGTGGAGCTCCAAAAAAAACAGACGCTATATGTGTATGAAGATCCATATAAAAAATGGAAATGTGAATAGTCTTGGTGTGATAAGAGTAAAAGACACAATGCCAGCTACCAAGGCAGTTGAGATTGTTATTAAAAAACTAGCTGAGTTCAATTTGCAGCTTAAAAACCACATTATCGCTGTTATAACAGATGGATCGTCTGTAATGAAAAAAATATGACGATTGATGGGTATTTATCATAAAATTTGTCATAGTCATGGCATACATTTGGCTGTTGTAGATGCTTTATATACTAAATTTTGAAAGAGAACTTGATAACTCTTCAATAAGCAATGAATGTGATGATGATGAGGAAGATTTTAAAGAAACTCAAGGACAATCTTGGCTTGGAGTAGTTCCTGACAATTATGAAATCGATTTTGTTCAAGACTTTTCATTATCAATTAATAAATTAGAAAAATAGCTCGTTTTTTTAGAAAGTAAAAAATGATTTTCTGCAGAGTGTCAAGAAAAACTGAGAAAGGAAAAAACTATGATAATTGATGTACTTACAAGCTGGAACTCAATGTTGGCAATGTTGAGGCGGTTCTTGGGGTTAAAAGAAGTAATAAAATCAGTACTTATAAATTTGTCAGTTACTCATTTATATCCAACAAATTGTGAAATTAGGCAGGTTGGGGAAATTGTAGAATCATTAGAAATCATTGAGGTAAGTTCACTTGCATTGGGAAGGCAAGATTGCAATATAATTGATGCTTTAAAAAAATTTGAATTTTTACTTTCTAAATTGAAAACTCATTCAAGTGTGACTAGTAAGAAATTCTACGAATCAGTAAGTAGGAGAATATTTGAATGTAGAATTATTAATGTAGAAGGTTTGTTAGAGTATTTGGATGATCCTAATACTTACCTAAAAGCACTTACACAAAAAAATGCAATATTACAACGATCAACAAGAAACGAAATAGCTCTAACAAATTAAGAAATTCCTCATCGTTTATTTCTCATTGATAAGAATGTAATGAAAATAGATTAAATCGAGAAGATGAGGCTCCATATGAATGTACTGAAAACATAACAAAAAAAGAAAAATTGAATCGCGTTTTGTCAAAGAAAAACTCTTTTAACTGTAGTAAATTTTCAAAATAAGGTTTTATCTATTAAAAAAGAAAAGAGCATTTTCGAAAAAATTAACAAAAGAAGTAGAAGTCATTTATTTGAACAAATGTACAATGCTTTGTTAACTATTCCACCATCGTTGGTCAAAGCTGAAAGATGTTTTAGTGCAGCAGGACTTTTTGTAACTAAATTGAGAACTAAATTAAATCGAAAATTTCCAAAAATGATTCATCACAACATCCCTACTGTACACCAAGTGTCTGGGGCTACCTGACTTTCCCTTATAGTTAAAAGCATGGAACAGCCTTGCACAAATATAGTTAGTGAAAAGACATGGCTATGGGTATTTTCTGTTAACGATATAATTGAATATCAGGGAGACTTATCCAACTTTGGTTCTGATGATAATTATTCTGATGAATAATAGGATCAATAAAACCTGTGGCAGCAAAAAAAATTACAAGCTCATCAGCAATTGATGATAAAGAAATTGGTGTTTTTTACATTGAGGTTATGCGATTAACCAAAAATATATTTTGGAAAACAAACCAACTTGTATTAATATCGATAATTATATAATTAATTATGCAAATTTTAAAGGAAACCCAGGACCTCACCCAAATTTTTTAGTTGATAGTAACCCTTTTACTTTATTTGAACTTTATATGGTTTTGTAACTAGTGAGCTTGTTGATCTTATAGTAGATCAAAGTTTTGTGGTATAATATTGTAAAAATAATGAACTCAAACATAGATCTAAAGTTCAGAAAATGTTGACATTAGGCAGAAATGATATCAGATCAGGGTTAAATAGCATTCATTTGATATTGTGGAATCTTATGAAAATCACATATGTATTGTATTTTTCATTACACTTTTTTTTGGCACACAATTAATACAAAAAGTAATGCCCTATGATTGTCTTATTAAGAAGTTTATTCATTTTGTTAACAGCAGTATATTGCCAAAATAATTTAGTAAGACTTAGCAAATATTGAACTAATTTATAACTACTTAGTAAACAAGTACAAAAGTCTGTAAGTAGATAAATATTTAGTATAAGTCTGTATAGACAAATCATTACTGCTTTGGAGAAATCACCTAAGCTGGTAGCAATACATTTCAAGCAAACAATTAAGATTTGGAATAATGACTTTTATATTGTGTCAAACTAAAACATTTTATATTTAGAGTTGCCTTTTGTAAACAAGTTGTAACAGTTGTTCTTTTGTACTAGAAATGAAATAAGCAACAGTTTAGCTCCTAATTTAGATAAATACAAATATCAAGCTACAAACATTATAATTACAAAAATGGATAACTTATTTGGAAATTAATAACTGGCATGAAATTTGCAAGTTATTGTTAGATCATTATACTGAGTGAGCACATTATGCATTACTCGCAAACAGTTACCACAATATATAAAGAATTTTAGGAATTTTAAAACTAGTGATATTTTAGTGTGATACACAGTATGATACACAGTGTGATACACAAAATAAAATTATGTGTACCATATGGAGAAATAAGAGATATATACACATGCTGAGTACCTGTGTTCAAAATAATAAAGTCACTTTTAAAGGAGCTGGTAAAGAAAAAAAACATGAATATAACAAAAACATAGGTAGTATTGAGTCATTTGACCAAATTTTGAAAACCTACAAATTTGAAAGAAAAAGAGTAAAAAAATGGTATAAAAAGATTTTTATGCAATGAATGCTTGTGCATTTAGTTGTGCAAATATTGCGAAAAACAAGTTATCATCTAATATAACTTACAGTTGAGAGAATCAATTATTAAAGAGAGTATTGTAAAATGCTATGAATCAGTGGAAAAACATAAATGTTGCACTAATGTATTCCCATTTCCTTTACAATTAACAGAACATGGTTTCATTGAAACTATCCCAGCTACAGAACTATCAAACCTAGTAGAAGATGTTTTGAATGCTCTGAGAACAAAGTAAGATCAGAGACAAAATATATATGTATGGACTGCAATGTTGGTTTGTGTGTTATGCTTTATTTCATGTATTATTGTATTAAAGAAAGCTTTAAAGGTGTTTGTAAATAAATTAAGTTAATATTGTATTTTATAAATCCATGCTTTATCTTATCATTGCCTGCAAGTTTAATTCTTCATAAACATTTCTATATAAAAAGTGCAAAACAAATCTTTTTTTAATATTACTTTTTTTTTTTTAATTGTTTACAATTTACAGCAAAAAAAAAAAGTAAGTAACTTGTAATAATCATAGACAATATATCTTATTGTAATCTAGAATGTTATTTTTAATAACTTTTAAATCAAAAAATGTAACATGTTGGCAGTTACAATAAATTTTTTATTTAAAAATTTTTCATTTAAAACTATATATACTGACTGGAGTATTATTTACATAAAACGAACATGTAAAAAATAAAAAAATGATAAAATAAGACTAATATCTTCAGAAATTGATGAAAAAAACATTATTTTACTTACAAAAAGGTATGTGGTATACCTCAGTGGCATATTAGTTTTATGCATTTAGTTTCAGCAACTCATTTGATTTCAAACACATAACAAACTTACAAAGTTTTTTTCAATTATCAAATGAGGTTAAAAAATTATTTTGATCCTTGGGGGTAACCTACCACTGACTCTAACCTATAAAGCCCATAGACCCCTTCACAAAAATAACAAT